TGTGGGTTTCATGAGAGGACCATTGAATTGGGTTCCGTGAGAGGACCATTGAATTGTGCTGTGTATCTACTTGTGATGATTACGTTCATATCTAATAATGATTGATATTAGAAAATTATATGTTGCTCTAAATTGATAACCAATGTGTGTGATGCTACATTGATCCTGAAAAGATGACTAATATAGTATATGTTCGGTATATGCCTGCTTTATAATGTTTTGGTTACTTGCATGTGTTTCACTTTTTGGGATAGTCGTGTGATCCTACCCGTACACTATGGTTGTGTACTGATATTGCACTTGCTTGTTCTTTGTTGAGTACAGGGCATCTTCAGGCGGCTATTGATAGACCTCAGCTAGGTGACTACTGAGTGTGACCAGATTCAAGGGTGAGCCAGTTCTTTCAGGCTGCCATGGATCTCTCTTGTTTAAGTCCACTCTTTTCAGACTCAGACTATTTGTTTAAGGTGTTTGTTTAGTTTTGGGGTTGTACCCCCTATTCTTAGACTTGTCATTAGTGGAGTTTTGGTACATTGACTTTCAGGTTCTAGGGGTTGAATTAGTTTGGTTAGTTGTTTGTTAAAACGTTTGGAGTTTGTGGGAACTCCGTATTTTTATTGTCATTTAAACTTGCTTCCGTATCTTTAAATACCTTAGTTTTCATAAAATTTGTTTTTTGGGTTGTAGTAATTGTTCTCCCACCGGAGGGTTTGTGTGGGTGTCAATCACGACGGTTTGGGTCGTGAAAAAAGTTGGTATCAGAGCCCTAGATTCGTTGATCTCATTGTACCAAAACGAGTCTAGTAGAGTCTTGCGGAACGGTACGATGACGTCCGTACTTTACTTCGAGAGGCTATAGGACTTTAGGGAAAACTCACTTCTTTCTACTCTTTCGTGCTATGACTTGAATCCAATTGATATCTGGGTGATACAAATTGGTATCTTTCCTCCTTCACACTATGGTCCGAACTAGAACAACAAAAGTGGTAACACCATCACTAACAAAAGATAATGTGTATGGACTACCGACAGTTGCATAGGGTCACCATTCAAAACAAGTATCCATTGCCTTGGATAGATGACCTTTTTGACCAATTGCAAGGTGCATCGATTTTCTCTAAGAATGATTTAAGATATTGTTACCATCAGTTAAAGATTGAGGCGGTTAAGAATTGGGTTCGACCAAG